GCCCAAACCAAAAGTCAGGAGATGAAGATCGACAAAAATATTTAGGTGTCTGACTCTCAATGTTTTTAGTAGGACCATGATTTCATGCCTCTTGCTTTGGCCATGAAGCAGATGATGAGAAATTCTCAGTATCTTGCTAAAGTGATTATTATAGATTTCAAGCACATGACACCTTCCTGAATCTTTCATGTCAAGTAAGCTATTTACTCCTTCCCTATCCAGATTAATTAAGTTTCTTTCACATTACCTGACAAGAAGTGATCATTTTTAAATGTAGAAAGAAAGGGCTATCAACCTTGTTAGGTGGTCAGTGTGCCAGCCTTCCCCTCACAGAGCAATTAGGAAAGCACTCATTTCTCTACGTTACATAGGACATTTGGAATTAATTAAATATTCAAATTATTTTCTCTGATCTCAATCCAGTTACGACAGGTGTGAGGCTGCTAGTGGTAGCTAAAGCAGTAAGTAAAAAGTCTAGAGGGAGGTCGTCATTTTGTGTTATGAGAAATAGCAACACCATTCTGGGACAGATCAAAAATAATAATTCAACTGCAGAGGCCTCCTGGATCGTTTTGCAAGTCAATTACTCTCTAAGTGATTAGTTTGGAAAAAGTTATGTGAAAAAGGGAACAGGCCTCCCATTTTAAAATTATTTGTATGACTCTTGCAAGTTGTTTATTTTCTTTATAGCCTTAGGTGGAAAGAAATTAAGTGTGCTTGAAGTGGGAATTATCCACATTTTTCAGCAAAAGCATAATCACACCGCACATTCACAGGGCTCAGGCTTTGAAGCCTGTGAAGCATTTACTTAGTAGGAAGCTTAGGCAAACCAGGCAACCCCTGAAGAAAGAGAGGAGAGTTTAATACTTCTGTTTTTATTGCATCATGGAAAAACTGATCATTTATCTCATTAAGATGGAGAATTTTTACTGGTGAACCCCTGCTGGGTTTATACGCTTGCCTGTTGCGTTGACTGAAGTAACTGAAAGAGCAGCGTTGTCCCTTTGCCTGGGGATAGATGTTAGCCTTTGTGGCAAGGTAAGGAAGGTAAATTGGTGACAGATTCAGAATATTTTCTTTTAAAAATGTACATAAGTCTCCCTTGACTTAAACAGATGGGGCATATAAAATAAATACCTGCAACTGCAATTTAGTTCACTTGCAGAAACCTCAGCTATAATAGCTACATGTGTGCAGGGAGGACTGGCTTATAACTAGGGTCTGGGACTGGACATCAAAAGAAATAAATAAATTAAAAAAAAAAAAAAATTCTTTCTTTCTTAAACTCTTGGTCTGTCCATGAGGGAAGTTGGTTACAAGGGCACTCGCAAAAGCACCATAGCCAAATATGAATAAATTATACTGAAGCAGTTAAAAAATATTCCCCTTAAGACACTTGAAGCCTGTTTCTCTCTACCATTATTACATGGAGGCATTTCCTCCACTCAGCTGTGCCAGGGTGTTCTCAGGCCACAAAAGCAGACAGTTGGTATGTCTACCTGGATGCAACTTCAAGCAACTAAGATCAACACTGAGCTCAAGTCCAACAGATCTGCCCCCAAGACCGTGTCTCATCACATACCAAAGCAGTGCAGGCAGCAGGTGACACTCCCATGATGACAACCTGCTCTCTTCTCCCCGTAGCCTCTTGGTAAATCCTTGACAGTTCTTCCTGTCTGTCTTTTAAAATGAGGGATTAAATTGCACCCACACATGTGTCTGCACAGATACACTCTTGTATTCCAGTTTTAAAATAACCCTTTCAGAGTACAGTTAGTCTGCCACGTTGTTGCTGTACAAAATGTGACCATTAAGAAATGGGAAGCGTTTACACTCACTACTAAGACTGGCCAAACGCTCCAAAGGGGAAAGTTTGCAAATAGTCACAGTTAATCACTGCTCTGGTTCTCCACCTCTCTGCTACGGCAGGGCAGAGGCACTCCGCCTATGAAAAAGCAAAAGGGCAGGGGCTCTGTTCTCAGGAGTCACCGTGCCCTGTACACATCCCAGCCAGTTTTTAAATCCCCAGGGCACAGGTACGCAGTGCTGGCCCAGCACTGCCAGTGGACCCAAAATCACTCTCAGCAATTTATGTAAGGTAGCTGAAGGTACGTTTTGGCTTTGCAGAAAGTTGCCTCACATTTACGTTTATCACAGACCTCAACAAGATCTTAACCTCAGCTGTGACTTCCTTGCATATCTGTAATGTACTTGCCCGCAATGTGATCAGTGTCTGCACCTGCTGATGGAAGATGCACTTCCATGGGCTTCACATGCTATCCCTGGTCACTGTCTGCCTCTTTCACCTGTATTTTTAAAAAGTTTAATTCTTCATGGGAAATAAGTTTAATTTGAGGGTGGTGTTGTTCATGTGGTGGTGATGATGGAAGGAGGCATCTGGAATGCATCCTGGTTTTGGCTGCACGCTCTTGATATAAATTGTTTATACAATAGTAACATACACAGCTTGACATATCTTTCTGGAAGCACTGTTACACCGGGGTGAAGTGTGAAAGTGCCGATCTCCAAGTAGACAGAGCATCCTCTACCAGCTCCAAGAGGAGTCGTTCAGCAGACTGACCTCAAATGATACACACGTATCTGGGTTTACTAAGGTCCCATAGAGATACTTCCTTAGCCAACGTGCTTAGTTCTAATCTAGACTGAGTCAGCATTACTGGCTTGTTGAAATAAGGGCTTTTCTTTGGTTTTGCACTTAGATTTTGCAAGATTTGTTGACCTATGAGGTCTCCAGTTCATAGATGCTACTAGAATAACAAAGATATCATACAAACAAACATTAACAGCAGTCTCAAGAGTAACCAGCTTTCTGGTCCACAGAGGCTAAATTACACTCAACTTTGAAAGTGACTAATTTTACTTATTTTATATGTTGAAAAAAGCTTATCTTTTGGTAAGTTACTAACAATCCATCCTTTCAAATTGTTTTCAGGCAATATTCACTCATTAATATTCCATTAAGAGTATCAGGTGATCAATGTCCTACTCTGCAACTAGGGCCATAATTTAGTTAGGATTGCAGGAATGCAATCCCTTTCTGATAATGGCTTTTTCTGCAATGTTTAAAAAAAAAAAAAAAAAAAAACAAAAAACCAAAAACCAAGCACCTGGTGAAGTATTACATGTTATGCAGACATACTATGTGGCTGGTACATCTTATTCTGCATCTCTTATTTCAGTACAAATCTACCTCTGTTGTTTTGAAGGCAAATGTACATCCTATGTTGGTCATTCCATCTGAAAAATTATATATCACTCTGCTCTTAGCCAGTTTCAGTGCAGTTCTCTACCACAGTATTTTCAGACAAGCCATATTCTCCATTCTCTACCTTCCCTTCCAAGGCTTTCCTTGCAAGACGTATACACGTATTTCAGCAGTGAAACAATACAGTAGTTCATTTAGTATTGCTACAGTAGTATGGAAAACACAAACTTGTTTGTCTCAGCTTCTCTGTATCTCTTTACAGAGTAGTTAATGAACTTTTAAGTCTTTAGCTAGTTGCTTAAAGGTGCTGTGTGCAGCTATTTAGAAGTATTTGGAATGAAAATGTGAAATGCAGCACTGAAGATCAAAGCAGAATCTTCTCTAAGCATGTTACGTACCTCCCTCTGGCATTACTTGAACTTTGTTCAACGCCCAGAGTATGCTTTGACAACACGCCCATCTCTGCACCTTGCCTTACAGTAAGCAGTGCAAAGCTCAACATGTTACAAGATCTTAAAAAACTGGTATTTTGCAGCTTGCTGCGTGATTTTCTGGGATGTCACCTTCCAGTCCCCACCCAAGTCACTCACCCAGAGCACAGTCTTGCTGGTAAAGGGTAAGGATAGATCTGGTCCACTCCACTGTTAAAAAGTTAATATATGCTGAGAGTCTGAGTAAACAACCAGAGAAAGAATCTAAAAAATTTGGTTGGTTGCTAGCTGAAGTGCAGAAAGTATAAGTAGGTAATAAGGATCTACTGAATACATCATTTATTATTGATACTCCTTCCCTTGAGTAATACTTATTAAGACAGATCACTCTAAATCATTCTTCCATATTTATTCTATATAAAATGACCTTCGCTTAACAGACTTAACTGCTAGACCATTTTATTAATGTAGAGAAAAGTAAGAAGTCATAAATGTCAATATGAACCCAGACTGCGTATGAAGTAATAAAGAATAAATCAGTACAGCTTCACATAACACCCATGTATTTACATAAAGCTCATTTTATTTCTACCCTACATGACAGGCTCCCTAAACCCATTCAGGTGAATCTTCCACTTTGAAACAAGACCACTGTGTCAAGACTAGTGGTTTCTGATATATCTTCCACAGTGAAAGAATAAATGCTAAGTCTTTTTTTTAAAGATTTTTATTAAGAATGTTCAGTAAACTGCATTTGACAGATTTATTTAATCTCATTACTGAGTTAAAGTGCCACCAGTCACTTTGAAACACATTGAAAAGCATATTTTCTTCAGTCTAATCTGGGTGAGGTCTTGTTAACTTTGTATGCACACAATTCGTGACATGCAAAGCCCTAACAAGACCATAATAAATCTGTCAACTACATTTTTAGTGAAACCCAGGGTGTCTGCATATCAAGAAATAGCAAGTTCAGCATGCATGAAAATAAAAATACAGCTTGCACAATCAAGCATATATACTCTGAATAGCAGCGACATCACTAAAAAAAGTTGACTTTGTGCTTCACAGTTAAACTGTATATGGCTCAACAGTTTTGTTCACTGAACCATGGAGCTGACAACAAGTCTCTGAATGGCACTCAGAAGCCTAAATGATTACAGTGTAAGATATCAGTAGAACTGTTTATTCCATTATTCATTGTGATGGCTCAAAAAAGACAACAATCCCATTATTATTATCATTAGGATCCATTTTCAAAACCTTTTCAGAGAAGTGTTTCACCATCAGTACCCTGCATTGTCCAGCCTGACAAGTAGTGGAACATGACAAATATGCACATATATTTCAAAACACAGTTTTGTTTATTTGTAAAACATGAGTTTCCAAGCAGATTTAACCAGAAATTATATTCACACCCTCAAACTCTATTTCAGACTTTTTTTGAATGCCTTTGTCTATTACAGATTGTCTTTTATTTCAAAACAGATTTCCAGCATAAATCACTCCTCTACTCAATACTTACTGAGCAAAGTAATCTGTATGCCCACAGCATTTAAAGTGAGAATTACAATTGCAAATATGTGTTGCACAGTTACCTGCATTCTCTTTTTCCCTGGCACTTATTTCAATAAGCCAACCATCACTTCACTGATATCCCACAGCTTTCTTGCAACCAAATCATCCGTGGCTTTGGGCAGGAGTTCCTCCTCTTTGCAGTCCCCAAAATATTTTCCTGATACACCTTCAACATCAGGAGAAGAGGCCAAATAAATAGAAGTCTGGGCTCCTTCCAGAGGCGTTTTGAAGAAAGCCCAAGACACCAAGTTGAATAGCGGTTTTGCCAGGAAAGGAATATTCACATATCTGCCTAGATTTGTTCTAACAATCCCAGGATGAAGTGAATTGACGGTGACTCCTGTTCCTTCTAACCGGCGGGCTAGCTCCCTTGCAAATAATATGTTAGCCAGTTTACTCCGACTGTAACAAAAGCTTTTATTATAACTTATTTCACTGTTCAGGTCTTCAAAGTTGATCTCTCCGTATTTGTAAAGCTTTGAGGATACTATCACAATCCTGCTTGGAGCAGAATTTTTGAGGAGGCCCAGAAGAAGGTTGGTGAGCAAGAAGTGACCCAAGTGGTTTACACCAAATTGCATCTCAAAACCATCCTCTGTCTTCATGTATGGACACTGGAATATCCCTGCATTATTTATCAGAACATCCAGCCTTGGCTCTTCCTTTAAATAGGAAAGAAAAAAATCATTCAGTTTTATAACAGTCGTACAAAACATGCTATTAAGCTTAGTATTTCTCATTCACCCTCATTAGAAATAACTTCATTACTAGTTTTTCAAATTGTAACTTCATGATATTCTCTCGAAGCATTGCTGAAAAGATCCCATAAACTAAACTATCACTAAACTGAGTACTTGAACCCAGCAGGATGCAAGTACACGAGAAAAGGTCTGTATCTACCTTTAATGCAGGCAGATAACATTAGCTTCTCCAGGAACTGCTTTTTCTAAAGCAATTCAGTGATAATTTATCTTTGTGATGCGTTTTGTTTTCCTCTAAAAAGTAACCTGTTTATTGCATTGCAAAAGCAGACACATTAATTTACTGAAAACCTCTGCCATAGGTAAGGGCTCTACTGTGCAAAAGACATGCAATTACGGAACAAAAAGAGTTAGCTCACAGAACTAACTTCCTGGTTGAATAAAAAAATATCAGACTGTAGACCCATCATCCCACTGGGGTAATGTCATGAAAAACTTTGCTGGTGTTCTCTTGATTTTAAACACCATCTTATTTTAAAACCACTACATTTCATTGTGCTGCTTGGTGACAACTATGAAGCAGAATTCATTATAGAATAGTAACAGTCATGACCCTAAATTGAGCAGGCTTCATACAGCAACTTGAGTCTAACAGGTGTACTCAAAAACTTAGGCATGTCTACAGGACTGTGGCTTGAAATTTTTTTGACGTGCTCAGCACATGCTCTACTGATGGATCAGTATTCCGGCTCAGGACAGGAGAAAACAGGCTCAAGGAGGTATGTTACATTGTACAGAATCAGGAAACAGAATTAATAAAAAAAGAGAGTGGTATGGATAATTTAAGTACATATACAATACATCATGCACTTCATGCTTCAGCATCCACTCAAAAATTAAGAACTCTCCAATTTACCCAAAACAGTAACTTTTTAAAAAAATACAGATTAAAGTACGCTGCCTACAAAGCTCTGAATTCAGCACTTTCACCCACCTCTGACAAAAGATTGTGGAAGTATCACAGGAAATTTATGCTTGCATGAATCAGAAGCAAAACTATTTACTTTACAGAAAAAACAGCATGAGCTTTCTTTGCTGCTAATTCTTTAAACCCAAAGCATGGCCTGTAAGGCAAGCTGAGGTCATTTTCATGATAAAAATAGAGAACCTCAAAACTAATTTTATACCATTTGCCTTTTATTTGATTTCCATTAGCAGCAAAGATACAAAGAGAGCAAAACCCAAATCTGCACTTGACATTCAGTTAACAATGCTGGCATCCGATCACACAAAACATCAAGTACTTCAACCTCAGACTGATTTCTGTGGGACTTAAGGTGGCTTAGCGTCTCATATAATTGGGTCCCTCAGGCATGATCCAAGAGCATTAAACTCACTTCTCCTCTTCACTCAAAGGGACATAATGGTTACTATTACTAAACAAGGACAGGACTGAAGTAGTACTGACTGTAGCTCACTGAAATGATATTTCTTTAGAGAAAAACACTGCTTCAGAAACTTTCTGTGGCATCTGATTGGAAGATTTATTTTGCAAGACTTAACACTTCAAGAAGCAAGATCTCTACTTGCGCTGTTTTTCCAGACTCCCAAATGTAATAATAATGTGATCAGTGCCAGGCAGGCAGCTATGAACAAATGCAACAGAGAGCACAAAATATTGTTTTGACAGGCAATGCTATTCCTTGTAGCTTCTGCACTCCCTTCCATTTTTCTATGGAGCTCTCCAGCATCCCTAGAAGTCTTGCTTTTTGTAGTGAGACTAAGGAGTGAAAAATGTAATCCCTTGCAGTTCTGGAAAGCAAAAATCCCCAAAATTGAGTTAAGCAGTGAGAGTCCATAGTTTCCCCATCCTGCCAATATTTAAGTCTTCATCTCAAACAAAATGCACAAAACCCCCCAACAAACAGCTCCAAAAGGAGTCACTGGTTAGAGAAGGTAACATGAATGTGGGTGGAACAGCTCCTGAAAGTACTACCTGAAGTCACATCCCTTGTCATTCAGCTGCTTTTCCAATTATTTTGAGAATGAAAGTTAGAATGTAGGTGCCAGTAGCATTCTGCAGATACATGCTCCCTTTTTCTCCACCTGTTTCTCACTTAGAGTCACTGCTACTGGCTTTAGCAACAAAGAAAGGCCAATAAATTTACACTTGGGGATATTTTGTAGTATAAAAGATATAATAATTTTTAAAAGTTAGGCATTATGTTTCTTTTCCGGTCTTTGTTCTGCATATCATTTTTTATACACGTTTTTCCAGAACACTGAAGCAAGATTAGACTTATGACTGGATTCCTATGTATGAACATACACAACTACACAGAGCCCCACTAGAGAACTTAAAACAACTGGACTTTTTCCAGACATTTAAGTTTTAGAAAACCTATTCGAAAATTAATGCAATAAAGTCCCTTTTTTCCCCCCTCCCCTCTCAGAACAGCATCTGAACATCTTTCAAGTACTCAACAAGCAGCTCTCTGAGCCGCAGCAGAACATATTAAGCCTGGCTTCCCGTGACTCTGTGTCTCATGTCTTGAGTGGCTGGATGTGGCGAGACCAGAGTCCCAACTGACGCTTGTCAAGGGAATAGAATGTTGCCTCCAGTGGTGCCTCCCTCTGCTCTCTGATGTCTAATAACACAGCTGAACTCACCTAGCGTCATTTCTGTCACGCAAATTAACGGGATGCCCCTGTTCTCCTTAAACTCGGTGTACATAAATTTTATATGTTTAAAAATGTCTTTCTATGAAACTCAGCTAGCACTAGCCAAGAAATTTAAAATGGGGGGAGGGGAACAGACTAGGCAAGTGGCAGAAGAATGGCCGGAGCTCCAAGTTGCGCACTCATGTGAACTTTTATTTCTCTGGAGACAAGGCTGAGCTGTAATATAATTTAAAATAACAAAGGCAGATTACTGTGGAGTCAAGAAGGAAAGGACGGCAAAGAATCTATGCCACGCAGAAACATGTGTTTCCTTTCCAGAACAGAAAGGCACTGGAATAGTTTGGACTACTGCAACAGCCCGAACGGGTATGAAAATGATGCTCCGAGATGCCGATTCAAAAAGACGGCCCGTTCACTCCCACCCGCCTTCCACCCCCCGCAGCCTCCCGCACCACAGAGCGGGCGGAACGAGCCCTGCGAGCACGGCCCCTCCCGCGCCCCCTCGCAGGCAGCCCGGGGGAGCCGGCAGGCCCCGGCGGAGCCGGCTGGGCCCCGGCGGAGCCGGCTGGGCCCCGGCGGGCCGAGCCCCGCGTCCCGCGGCCGTACCTGGAGGACGCGGTGGCAGAAGGCGCGGACGGAGCGCAGCGAGGCCAGGTCCAGCTCCCGCACCACCAGCTCGCCGCCGCCGCCCTCGGCCTCCGCCCGCTCGCCCAGCTCGGCCCGGATCTCGCGGGCCGCCCGCTCGGCCCGCGCCCGGTCGCGGCAGCCCATGATGACGCGGGCCCGCATCCGCAGCAGCTCGGCCGCCGCCGCCCGGCCCAGCCCACTGTTGGCCCCCGTGATGATCACCGTCTTGCCCCGCATGGAGGCGCCGGCCGTGGCCGCAGCCCCGGCCGCGCCCCGCAGCCAGCGCCAGGCGGCCAGGAGCAGCCCCCCGCCCAGCGCCAGCGCCGCCGCCGCCGCCGCGGCCATCCCGCCGGGCCGAGCGGCGCCTCGCCCCGCCGCGCTCTCATTGGCCTGGCGCGCCGCTTGGCATTGTGGGGATTGTAGTCCGCCGCTGCCGCCTCGCGCTCCCACCGCCGCCGGCGCCCGGAGGCCGAGCCCAGGAGGCGGTTGGGGCGCGCGTACGGGCTTTTTATCAGATTTACGTGAAATGGTGCATGTTCCTCTGACGCGGTGGATAAAGGTGGACCGTCCACCGATGTCAAAATCAGTAACTGACGTATTTTAGTGGGATAAATGGCATGTCATAGTTCCCGGTCCCGTATCGTCTCTACATGCTATCAGTGATTCCATAGTCAACCTCATCCTCTTCGCCACAGGGGTCCGGCTCTCACTCTGTACCATCGGGAAGCAGGTTTGGTTTACCCCAGATGGCAAGGGATAGGTAGAGAAAATCAGTTTATTAAAAGAAAGTAATTAGTAATACATTTACTGGTACAATAGTTCATTAAGATCTTGAAACTGCCCACTCCTGACTTACAAATACGTGTACAATATCTACCAATGTAAATAGCACCTGATCTCACAAACAACACGCAACCTTTTCCTGTTGGGAACCAGAGAGTCCTAGTTTTGTTAACAACTCATAATTGCCTGGATGCCATTTCCCACACGCTCCCAAAGAAAATGCTGTAGATTTAATGCTAGTGGCATTGGAATGTCCAGTGGCAAATCAGTGGCTTTCCCAGCCCCAGCGTGGTCCCAAGGGCAACTCAAAACAAACTGTGGGCCATAGTCAGAGCTAGCTCTGCAAGGCTGCTGCTTCCTTCCCTGCCTCAAAAATGAACGGTTGTAAGAAGTCCCAGCAGCAGCACGTCCCACCACCTATCCAAAGGCTGTTTTGCTAATAGCAGTGTCCATGCTAATAAATTAAATGTACTGGGTGCTGCTGTTTGGTGCTGCAGCAAACTGGCACAGAATAGCCTTTTAAACTCAAAAACATCCAAGCAGGTTCTTGGTTTTCGTCCTGTGCTGACTCCTGAAGCGTGGCTGAGTATCATCTGGGAGAGAGCCAGCTGACCTGGGCCAAAGCCAAACCAGGGACTGTTCTAACAGTTTTAGAATTAGAGACAATGATAACAATTTAATTACAATTAATGATGATTGAATTCTAGGGCCCAAGAGCGTTTCCTGATAGCATTTAGTTTGCTAGCAGAGTTTTTAACAAATTGTTGTATTTATCAGTCTCACAGAGGTGACTCCATCACAGGGAAAAGAGACATTAAGGGCAGAACAGGAATGCAACATCTCTGCTGTTATACTGTTGCAGAGTTTTGGCCCAAGCCTGGGAGCTGGTTAGGGCCCTCTCACAGCTCATGAGCTCCCACTAGGCATTTTGGAAGCAGCCACTGTGTTCTGGAGATTTAGCATGCACGTGGACTTTTTTCCTTGCAGGCTGGCCTTTTTGACAATTAAATGTCCAGAGAAAGTCTAGGGTACTAGTATAAATGGTGAGAGAGTATGTCAGAGTGGCATGCTGAGACCTACTCTGATGCTCCCTTCCAGACCACATTTCTTTCTTGGGGATTGCAGCAGGTTTTGTGGCTCTGGATCAAGTTGGACCATGTGCTTGAGCATAGCAGAGGTGTTAGTAGATGGTCAAGCATGTCTTGATAACCTACCTGCATGTTGCAAGCAAAAGTGATTGGGGACCAGGGGGGCATGTTACAAAACTCATTATGTCAGTGTCTGCTCTGATAGCTACTCTAGAGTCTAAATATACCAGTAAACTGACAGTCAGACCCTGCTGAACAATTGCTTCTAGGACCAGCTTCAGCTGAATAATATTAGCTTACAGGTAGCCTGTTTGAGGCAACAAAATTCACTGGACTTGAGGACCGAGGGGGTCTGTCCCATCCCAGTCTGATAGAAGGGAGCTGCTTGCAGAATGTATCCATACGTCTGCTCACTCACCTCACAAGCACACTTACATTCATTAGTCTCTTAATTATTAGCATGGACCCTGAGTCCATCCAATACCTATACCCAGAGACCCTGGCACCAACTCTGACGCTGAGTTTTCCCAGAAGCTGGTCTCTTCCTGTTGTCCAGTTTGAGGTGTGTTAGTGCTTCATATATGCACATATTGTGGGTCCCTCAAATAGCTGTTTTTACCAGTAGCTTGCACCCAGACTGGATCTCTCCAGTTGTTGACACTGAGACCCTTGGGCCCTTCAGACCTACCAACTTAGTTTTGAATCCTCAACCAAAAACTTGTTTTCAGCCATCATCTTCATGTCATGGCTCCAGATCCCACCTTTACTAATCCCAGACCTTGGCAACCCCACCCAAAGCAACATGAACCCATCCAGGGAGACAGGAGGGGCCACTGAGTTTCCCCTCTTCAAAATCTATTTCATCCTAGCCCTGGGAGAATTTCTAGTAGAAATGTATAGAGAGACAATACAAAGGTAACTGAATTTTGATCAAGAGAAATGTAAGTTAAAAAAATAATGTGCTTGACAAAAAAAAGAAAAAAAAAAAACAACCATAGTAGAGTTCAGTGCAGATTTAGGAATAAGATAGGGACAAAGAGGATAGAACAACATGGATTAAGAGAAGTTCAGGATCAGGACTAGGGGCCAGCATGCAGGTGAGTAAAGTCCAGGGAGACAACAGTCTGTGGGGGAGACCAGAAACAAACTTGGCACATAATGAGCATGTCTGTCTTGAGTCTATACCTAGCATATTTGGGGAAATGAGTAAGATACCCAAGAGGAAACCCATGAACCTTTCATCAAGTTTCTTGCAGCTGGTCTGGATGTGATAACCATTTGCAATAGTAACTTCCCCTTAACTGTCACATGTTGATGCTACCCACAGACTGTTCATATTGCTGTAGTCTCTTCAGAGGCAAACTTCAGCTCACGTTATAGCTGAAGAAACGTATCAGATTTTTCTGGAAGTATCCTTGCTATCTCTTCTCTGACTGTCTGTCACACTTCTCAGGCAGTTTAATGGCTGCATAGGTACCACATCTAAGCACATTAGACTTGCTGAGATACCTCTTCTTTGTCTTCACCACAGAAAACTCTTTCTCTTCACTTTTGGCTCTTCACTCCATTGTGAGTCTCATGGGTACACCAAAAGGTATTTTAACCAGACCATACCATTGCATCTGCTTGTGACACAGGTGACTTTTGGCATCCTTAACCTGATGTAAGTTTGAGGTGTTCTTTCATACACTCTGCTCATAGTAAGTCATATCTTTGGGAGGTGTTAGAGCCAAGCCCACCTCAGCTGCCTAATGATGTTGCAGCCAAGCACCATGAGAAAGAGACAGTGGTTGCCAGTGAGATGCCAAAATAAGAGAACCAGGAAATGCCCTGTTAGAGGAACAGATTCATCCTGTAAGAAATCCTCCTGGTGGGGTGTAAAGAATCTACTATTCAGCATCTGGCAGTGGAGGACTCTGGCAGTCTTCTCCGATACACTTACTACTTCAGAAGACTGTGAATATGTTGGAGAGGGCACTGCCTCAAGGATCCTGCCTGGGTTCATCAGTGGTCAATCCAGCCTTCAGTGCAAGGAGCACTGTGCACAGGAGCTCACAGTTGATAGTGATCAGGAGCTGCTCATCTAGGCAGGGATGACATATGCATTGAGATGTTGGTCCCAGATACTACTGAGCAGGGTAGCTGAAAGTTATTTTTTCTCTGAAGACATTGACCTACTTCACTGCTTTCTCTACCCATCTGTTGCACTTGAGGAGACGGGTGTGTTCTGTTCAGTGATACTGCATGCCAGTGCAGGTTACAGGATCTGGCAGAGGAGCCCAAGGTGCATTTTTGGGGATCCTCCTCAGAATGTAAGAGCCCTCTGGTTCCTGATTCCTTAGAATAGGTCACAGTCCAAGAACACTGGAGGACACATGTTAGAACACAGGAGACGGTGACCATCTTCAAATCTTCATCCAAAATATTTTGTTTCCTCTAAGTGGTTGTTTCGCTATGCATGACATGCCAGCCTGGAAACTGAAAAGATGCCTTAGAGGTGTGAAGGAACTAGGGAACATGCATTTATAATGTCTTGGTAGCTGCTGGGAGGTATCCAGCACACTCTGAGGATATGTCCTCCTGTAAAAAAATAAAAAATAATCATGTCACCTTCAGGATCTGATTTCCAATATTTTTATCCATGTGGATTGGTAGCAGTAGGAGACATTCCCATTTGTCTTACCTGGACTCTTTATTGTGAGTGGTGCAAGAACCTGGAAGCTATGAGAACAAGGACTGGTTTTGCCTGACAAAGTTCTGTTTCTGCACAGAATTAAATTTCAATCTGTGTTATTATTATTCCTCTTCCAGGCTTTGGCTGGGATGAGTGTTTCTTTTTCATGAGTCTGTCCTCCAGTGTTAGAAACAGGCTGATGGACAGGACAGTCCAGAACCACAGGACTCCTCTGTATTTCCTACTGAAAAGTGTTTATCTGTTGTTGTAACTGTGACTGGCTTAGGGTTATGAGGTGCCAGAGCATAAACTCATGGAATCCTCATGAGCAAGACAGTTTTTGTTGGGTTTTGTTGTTGTTTGCTTGTTTGGTTGGTTTCTTTAGTGGAATGGAATGCTATTAAGAGGCAATTCTGGTCTGTATCTACAAAAATAGAAACCCCTTTCCCTCAGCTCCCATCCCATTTCAGATAATTTTCTTGAAAATTATTATTTGGCCCACTAGCCAGGCTGTGTCTTGGAGCAGAAGACAGTAATTGTAATGGGCAGAGACTACTTGGCAAGCCTCAGGCTCCCCAAACATCCAGATTAGTCTGGAAGACACTTGCATGAACGAATGAGGCTCCACTCACCCAATGTGCTGCCAGCTGGATAGGCAGAGAAGCAGCTGTCAAACCCGGGATAGTTGCCTGGCAATTAAAAGGCAGTGTATAATCTGAAAACATCGGAGGGCATTTTGCTCAACTAACTGAACTAACAGGAGAAGTGATTGTGGAACTTCACATCGACTTCTGGACTTTAATGACAAATTGAATTCTGTGACT